GGTGGGGGGGGGGGGGGGTGGGGGGGGGGGGGGGGGGGGGGGGGGGGGGAATGGAAAAAAATTCAAATAAGAACATAGAATGAGAGTTCAAATTTGGTTCTTTCCAATGTGACTAGTCTGAATGCCAGCTTTACACACAACTAATAATGGTACAAATCAAAGAAATCATCATATTAGAAGTTGCAAGTTAATTAAAAAGAGTGAGATTGTTTCTTTTCTACTACCTTGAGCAAGTTTTAGTATTGCAGCTGTTATGAAAATGCTCAAGACTTTCTTGAACACATCTCCCGCAAATACAGTGCCTATATCACCAGATCCATTCCAAGCAATTATAATCATAGCCTTCATAATTTGAATAAGATGAGAGAATTAATTTCAGAAAAAGAGAAGGAAAGTTAATGATGATTACAGGACAAATAAACATAAAAGGGAAACTGACCTGTAAGCACAAGATAAAAAAACTCCACATTCTATCAAAACTTCTAAAAATGTGCCAAAATGAGCGTATCTCAACAAAGTTGATTTTGCCTATCCATCGGTCTCCTTTTAATGATTCCTGGTTCTACATATAAAATATAGTCAGATAAATAGAAACAACAATTTTCAAGTCGATGATCAAAATTGTTTTGAACAAGAATTTGTTATAAGAACTAGAAAGGAGGTAATCTCTTCCTCTCATCTACTTTCATTATATAGAAAAGTAACATGTACACGTATGGAAACTAAATAAACAAAATAATGCTTTTGCGTAATATATATTATTCCTAATTGATTAACTTCCTTTACATTCCGCCCTCAAACTGGAGATATATATCATATTACCTCAGCTTGGAACAAAGAAATATCAATCCATTACTAGTCAGTGGCTTCGTAAACATATTAGCAAATTAGTCAACGATTTTCACAAATGGTGTACATATATTATCACTTACTATCTTATCCCGAACAAAGTGACAGTCAACTTCAATATGCTTTGTACTTTCATAAAAAAATGGATTGGATGCAATATGTAGAATAGCCTGATTATCACATAATATCGAAATAGGATTAGAACAAGAGATTGATCTCTTGTAGAAAGTGCTGCAACCATGTCAACTAACTAGTAATATGAGCCATCACCCTATATTCCCCTTTTGCACTTGACCTTACTACAACAATTTGTTTCTTACTTTTCCAATAGACGAGATTACCACCGAGAAAGATACAGAAACCAATAGTAGATCACCTACCTGACGAAGATCTTGCCCAATCTGCATCTGTAAACCTTATTACTCTGATATGTCTATTAAGCTTATAAAATAATCCAAAGTCGGGAGCCTTTTTCAAATACCGAATAATATATATCACAACTTCCCACTAAAAAACTCGAAGAACATCCAAAACTAACTAAACATCCAAAACTAACTAACGATGCTAACTACATAAGAAATATTTGATTCTGTGATGGCAAGATAATTTAATTTTCCAACCAACGAAAAATATTTTCTTGGTTCGCCAAATGGTTCTCCTTCATCCTTCAAAAGTTTTACATTAGGATCCATAGAAGTATCAACTGAACGAGTTCCAAAAAAAAAATATCTCATCTAATAGGTCGAGTATATATTTTCTCTAAAATAAATTAATACTTGCCGAAGACCTAGAAACTTCAATACACAAGATATATCGTAGCTTGCCTAGATTTTTTATCTAAAAATATTTTTGTAGAAATTGTTTCAACCGGACAATCCCATAATCATCATCACCAACGATTATAATATCATCTACATAAACTACAAGGATAACGTAACTTTGTCCCAATTTGTAGATGAAATACCAAATTATCTGTCTGATACCCCTAAAAACAAAATTTTAGAACCACCTCATAAAATTTTCCAAACTGCACCCTTGGTGATTACTTTAACACATATAAAGCATTTTTCAACTTACAAACATAGTTCTACACAAACTACAAGGTCAACATGACCTGTCCCAATTTGTAGATGAAATATCGAATGATCTGTCCACACCTCTGAAGACCAAATTTCAGAACCTCAGAGAACTTTCCAAACCTTGCCCCTGATGATTAATTTTATCTATATAAAGCCTTTGTCAACTCAAAAATATCATTCTGGTACTCCTATATAACATAACCCAGGTGGTCGCTCAATATAAACCTCCTAGTGTAAGCCACTATAAAGGAAGGCATTTTTAATATTCAACTGAAATAATAGCCAATTACGGTTAGCAGCAATAGAAAACAAAACGCGAATAGAAGAGATCTTAGCAACTAGAGATAGCGTTTCATCATAATCGATGTCATAGGTTTGTGTGTAACCTTTAGCAACTAGTCGTGCTTTCAACCAATCAACTGTCCCATCAAAATTGAACTTTGGAACATAGATCCATCTGTGACCAATAAGATGTATACCAAGTTGTGAAGGAACAAGGTCCCAAAGCTTATTCTCGCGCAAGACTATCATTTCCAATTCCATAGCCTTTTGCCGCTTAATGCCAGATAAGGCTTCTGTCACAATCTTAGATAAAAAAAAAACAATAGAAAGCCAGGATGTGAAACAAGAAAATGAAGGCCACAACGAATCAAAAGTGACATAATGGGCAATAAGATGTTTAGTTACACAAGTACGTTTACCTTTCCAGAGAGCAATGGGCAATGAGTGGATATTAGAACAAATGATGGAAGCAGGATATGTAGACGGTAAGGTAACAAATGGGGGTGACAGAAATTGACTGAATTGTCTTGTTTGGAGTCTTCCTTTCATATATAAAAAAAGTTATATATAGCTAGGGATCTAGTTTTAATCTATGGAAACTATAAATTTGGTAAATACAATGCATATCTATGTCAATATAACCTGTCCATAGTCTTTGTTGATACTATTGACACCCTCAAATTGATGCTAGACGATCTAAAAGCATCAATTTGCTGACAAGAAACTGATGTCGTCGTCGAGTCATTGCCTTGATAAACACATCAGCAGTCTAAACATTTGTCGTAATATGAAAGGGCAATAATTTGACTATCATAAGTCTCTCGTGTAGAATGACAATCCACTTCAATGTGTTTAGTTCATTCATGGAACACAGGATTAGCAGTAATTTGAATGGCAGTAGTATTGTCGACATGAAGTGGAATAGGCTCAAGTTGAGGGCAACCAAGCTCCACTAAAAGACCTCGAAGCCAAATAATCTCAAAGCAAGCAAAAAACATAGCACGATACTCAGATTTAGTAGAAGATTCAGAGACATGATCCTACTTCTTACTTCTCAATGAAATAAGTGCAATCCCAAGGAATAGACACCAACTTGTAATTGAGCAACGGGTATCCACACATCTAGCCCAATCTGCATCACTATAACCTATTAACCTCGGAGAAGAATTGGCTAGAAAGAAAAGGTTCCTTTTAAATGTACCAATTAAATATCTAATAACACGACGAACTGCAACCAAGTGAAGATGTGGAGCATGCATAAATTGGCAGACTTGATGGACAGCAAAAGAGATATCCGGTCGTGTAATAGTAAGGTAATTCAAACTACCCACTAGCTGACGTACAAAGAGGGATCAAACTTCACATTGACCTCCAAAGGAATATCAACAGAGTGACCATCCTAAAGTCCAACCAATGTCATCAACTTCGCTGTATACTTATGCTGATGTAGATAAGTTCCGGTTGGAGTTGAAAGCACATCAATGCTTAAGAAAAACTGTAAAGGTCCCAAGTCCTTCATATGAAAAGACTCCTTTAAGTCAGTATTGAAGGTGATAAAACAATCCGGAGTCGGTCCTTGCAATAACTATAACATCCACATAGACAAGAAGCACCACAATAACTGCCTCGCTGTCAGAGATTAAGAGCAATGAGTCATACTGACTCTGAGTAAATGAGAACCCAAGGAGAGTGGAACGGAACTTTGTCAAACCAAGTACGAAGAGCCTATTTCAACCAATAAAGCGAACGCTTTAACTTACAAACATCAAAAGAGGGTTTGGATAAGAGACTTGCTAGGGTGACATATAAATCCCTTCCTTAAGTTCACCATGAAAAAAAGGATTCTTAACATCCATCCGTCGTAAAGACCAACCCTTAGAGGCAGCTATAGCAAGAACATACGAACCATTGTCATTTTGTCAACAGGGACAAAAGTCTCATCATAATCTAAGTCATATTCTTAACGATTGCCAAGAGCCACAAATCGACCTTTATATCGATCCATCAGAGTGCATATTAACAGAGTAGACCCACTTACACCCAACAGGTTTGACGCTAGGAGGACAAGAAACAACATCCCATATGTGATTCTCCTAGAGAGTTTGAAATTCCTCTTGCATTGCTTTCACCCAACAAGTTTAGGTAGCTGCCCGAGAATAAGTAGTAATTTTAATATGAGATAAGGTTGCCTAGAAACCATAACGATCGAGCGCTTTAGTGATGCGAGTAGATCACCTAACAGTAGTGGTGTCTAAAAAGGGATCAAGGTCGAGAAGGGGGCAGTTGGGATGGAGGCAATCGTCTCTAATAGACCAAACATAGTTTAAAACGTTCGATGGAGCAAGAGCCATCCTCAAAGCTCAGGAGTGGAGCCAGAGCAGAAGATGACATCCTATTGGAAGTAATATTGATTCTCAAAGAAGGCCACATTGCAAGAGATACAAAAAACAATTGGCAACACCATCATAACAAACAAAACCCTTATAAGCAGTACTGTAACTCATGAAAGCACATCGTACGAATTGTGCAGCAAGCTTATAACGTTCATGAGGCAAATAAACGAAGCGAACACATCCAAAAGTATGCAACATGTCATAGTTAGGATGTGTACCGTACATGCAAAAATGAGGCGAATAAAAACTAAAATGCTAAGTAGGAAGTCTATTAATCAGATGTACACTGCGGAGAGGGCCTTAACCTAAAATCTAGACAGAACCAAGGATTCCAAGAGCAAAACTCGAACATCTAACAAGTGTCAGTTCTTTCTTTCGACTACCCCGTTCTGCTAAAGAGCATATGGACAACAGCGTTGAAAGAGAATCCCTAGTAGTTGCAAGAAAGACTGAAAATCATGAGACATTCCCCGCTGTTGTCGGTCCTCAAAATTTGAATACGGGAAGAGAACTGCGCCTCAACGTAAGCTACAAAGGTCTTAAGAGCAGTACAGACTTCACTTTTAGACCTAAGAAAATATATCCAAGTCTAACGACTTAAATCATCGATGAATGCTACAAAATATTTATAATGAGCATGTGAAGTGATAGGTACCACACCCCAAACATCACTATGAATAATCTCAAAACATTTATCGGCCCGATTGCCATAATCTAGAAATGGAAGTATCTTACTTTTCCCATGCTTACAAGCATCACAATCAAGAGTTAAATTCGAAAGCTGAAACTAATCTTTATTACCAAGAGACCAGATTTTGACAAATGAGACAAAATTAAAACATTAGGATGACCTAATCCGTTATACCAAATTTCATGTCGAAGTCCAACATTAATACAAGCCAAAGACAAAACTTTAGGAATTGTAAACTATAATAGGATGACATGATCTTGCACAAGATAACCAGCACGAGAAAAACACATATTATGGTTATTATCAACCACTTCACCAACTGAAATCAAGTTAGTGATATGCCCAAAGATATAAAAACATTATCAAAGGCCCAATATCACCAACAGCAGTAATTGAAAGGATACTAGCATTAGCAATCTGAATATGATGTGTGCTAGAATAGAGTCGAATGTTGCACGAGGAAGCAAAATCACTGGTCATATGATTTGACACCCCTGAAACAACAAACCAAGGAGAGGATAGAACTTGACCTTTACCTTGTAGGCTTAAAGCAAAGAAGGCTGAAACAATCATTTGTTTTAACCTTTTTGGAGTAAGAGCCGGTTGACTGGCACCAGCTTGAGGAAGTATGGGAGGAGGACCCTCAACATCCGTATGAAAGGCCGAGCTTTCCAGTTCGGAGGTCGTGTAGGACACTCCTTGATGAAATACCTTGATTGTGGTGATTGCATACTTTTCTCAGGCAAGCACGAGCAATGTGGCCGTATCCTTTACAGTAGAAACATTGAAGTTTACCCTTTCCTCGCCCTTGGGCAGCATATGCAACGGGTGCCACATCAAATAAGGATAAATCAGCTCCCATAGTAGCTTGAGTAGCCGCTCGTTGCTCTTCGCGCAAAAGTTCAGCCACACACATCCAATGAAAGAAACGGATCACGATTCAACAAGCTCACTCGAACTACTTCAAATTCAGGTCATAATTTCATAAAAAATTGATCATGTTTACTAATCTCTTGAACCTCTCGCAGTGTTGACAAGACCACCGCAGAGACCTTAGCATTAAAGATCCCGAAATGCTCGCCCCACAAGTTCAAAAAACCAGAATAATATTGCTCAATGGTAAGATCATCTTGAGTATAATTGGCAATATCTAACTCCAACTGAAATCTCCTTGCAGTATTATCTTGATAATAAATGTGCATTAAGTACTCTCACATCTCTTTAACAGTAGTAAAGGAGAGTAGATTATTTACAATGTGCGCCTCCATAGACCCTAAAATCCAAGAAATAATACGCGCGTCCTTTGTTTCCCCTGCATTCAAATCCTTAGCATATTCAGGCACTTTTAAGGATCCATCAACTTAACCCCAAAGCTTCTTCCCCTTTAAGAACATCTTAAATATTCTCATATGGAATAATTCTTGCCAATGAATTTAACACAAAAGGCCTCAATCGACATGACGCTAAATAAATCACCACACAATAGCACAATCCACAAAATAAACCACACAAATAAAATGAAGCCAAAGGTAAACGCAGCCCAACCCAATAAACTCTCACTACCGAAGAAAAGAAGAAAAAATAAGCTCAAGTCACCGAGGCCTAAAGTAATTTATTATCACCACCAATGACCCAACCCAAATCAATCACAACCCAAACAATTTGATCACTACCAGAGACCCAAGACACCAAAAAAATCAAGTCATCTTCACTACAAACAATTCGCAAACACTACTCGTACTCCAATCTCGTTGATGATGCACAAACACCAAGCACTAATTTGACAGTACTCCTAATGAGTAGAGTGTTGCCCAAATTGGAAGGCTTCGACCCGAGATCGACACCAAAAACTCACACGCAGACAACCACCACACAATCACAGACGGTCACGCAGATATCAAACCTCACCAGTTACCCTCTGGCGTTGTCACCCACCAGAGCGGTCCAAGAAGCAACAGCACCACAGTGAATTGCAAAAGCACGAGGCTGAGGATTCGACCACCACGAGCAAGTCCATGCCTTGAGAAGCGGATTTATATCAATACCAATGATTCATTATAACAAGGTATGGCTCTGATACCAGTATAAAAATTGACTGAATTGTCTTCCCATTTGGAGTCCCCCCTTTCATTATATAGAAAAAGTTACATATAGCTAGGGCTTGGATGTTAACCTATCTATGGAAACTATAAATTTGGTAAATACAATCCATAACTATGTTAATATAATCCGTCCATAATCATTGTTTATACTATTGAGGGAGGGCACAAACGTTGGTGGCCTAGATCATCCGAAATAAACTTGTAAAGAAGGAGATGATTCCTTATGAGAAGTGGACGACCCTGGGGCGGTGGACGAAGACAAGACTAGTTCGGACTAAATACCAACTAGTAGATTTGTAATTGAATTAAAATAACACATCCCACTTTCAATAGGAAGCCTTCCCTATTTAAACTCAGCAAAAGTCAGATAAATTTTTTAGAGATAATAAATGCTCATACAACAGAGAGAGAAATACTTTTCAAAGCTAAAAGCAAAATTCGCAGTTTTAATATTTTGAAGCAAATGAGAAAAGTAAAGATTTGGAACGTTATTTTGAATTTTATCTTTCAAAATTCTTTTCATCAAATCAAGGTAAGATACTTTTATGCAAATGGCTTGTTTTCGCATAATTTCATATTTAGTAATTTATGCATAAATTGTTAGTGGATCTTCGATTTCGACTTAACGAAATGTGAACTCTACTGGGTTCATTATAACAAAATGTGAAATCCTTCAAGAATTCAAATTACTACTGATGGATGTCTCGCTTAATCATCAATATACTCCACACAAAGTGTGATATGAAAGGTCTACTTTATTGTTTTATAATTATATGTGAAAACTGCACGTAGCTTACTGGTATTTTAAATATTCACTTTTTCAATAATTCTGCAGGTTGATTCAGGTCGATTGGATTTGTAACGGAATGGAAATGCAGGCTGCCAATGGATTGAAGAAAAATAAACATTAAGTTCTCTATTCTTCAACTTATTAGTTTTGTTTGTTCAAAGGCATGTTATTTAATTAGTTAGGTGATTAAGTTTTTTTTTAAAGATACAATTTCCATGTTTTAATTTAAATTTATGAATATTCCAAATATTTTTTAATAAATAATTTATTCCATCGTTCTGCATTTAATGTAAAGAAAATTGAGTATTTTTGGTAACACTCCAGGATTTATGAAAAATTGGGTGTTCCACCAAGTAACCAACCCAAATAATTAACTTACAAACTAACAGATTAGACCCACAACAAAACAGGCCCAACAGTGGCTGAAATAAATAAAAAGGAGCCTAACTAACCTCAGCCCACAACATAAACTCTCCCCACCCAATTACTAAAAATTATCTCATTAAGCTCGTCGTTGGCTTCACGATGCAATGCAATTGACAAATAGTCCACATAGATAGTCAGCAAAAAGAGAGATCTTCGTAGCCTCAACAACTAACACACGATGACATAGACACAGGTGCAAAATAGACACGGCCAAAGAACTCCAAAATCCCAGAAGCCAACTACCAAACTATCCAACATACACGAACAATTGCCAAACATCAACGCAGGCGACATGCACAATCACATGCAAACTCAACCCCGATCGAAAACAGTGAAAGCACCCATACTCCTTACAGTTGAAGAAAAAGAATAGAGAAGAAGAAAGAGGGGAAGGAAAAAAAGTAAAGGGGAGACTTGTGATGAGGGAGAAAAGTAAGCGGAGACTACCAAACCCTAGGAATTGTCTCTGTTACAATGTTGAGAAACAGATTTGGTATAAACTTTTAGAGAAGAAGATAATAGTCTTCCTCTCCTTTACTTTCATTAAATAGAGAAAATCAAGAATACGCGTACAGAAAGTACAAATATGGAAACACAATAAACCCAATTGCACTCTTGCATGATTTACATTATTCTAATTTATTTATTTCCTTAACAATCATGAAGACTTCCAAACCAATTACAGCTCAATGCTCGATCGCATTAACCAAACTGGAATGTGACAGAGCAGGCCCAGATAGAACAAATATTTGTCGAGGCAAAAAAAGGAAATAAGAAAGCTGAAAGGTGCATACCGGCATGTATTATTTGCAAGAACATAGAATTTTTTTTACCTCACTTTTTTCTGCCCGGAGCTGTCCGATAGGAAGACGGAAGAAATCAGCATCAGCACGCATTGGCCAACCTAGTTTGAAGCAATTAACTGACCTACAATTTAGCATAAAAGCATAAGTTAACATAATATAAGAAAAAATAATAAAAACGAAGAAAAGAATGTTACCAGAAGTATTCATTTAGATCATCATAGTTTCTCCACTGAGAATGTTTGGATTTCTCTTTGATCCTTCTAGCTTCCTGAGACGCAACAATGGAACATCATATATTTACAGAAAGAACCAAGGTGTAATAAGGAAACCTTCGAAACCTCAAGAATCTAGAGACTGGGAGTAGAACCTTAGCTACAGTGTCATAGATTGGAGTCACAACTTTCCTCAAGAAAGCCTCATTTTCACCACCATAGGCAGGCTTGATATGCTCACCAGTCATGGGGCTCACACTTCCAGCCAGCATACCGTAAAGTTCAAATGCCATCTGCAATGTTTTACAGAATTCAAATAAATGAAAAGACCAAATGAGATAAGAAAAGTATCAAGACGAGTTTATTAGTGTATATATAACAACTAGTTGAATTTTTGTTAGAGATAATCATGATATAAACTCAAGTTGAGAGCTACACAAGAAAATGATTATATTCTATCCAAGTTCTTGTATGATAGACATTATTTCCATTAAAAACATTAAGATAAAGGAAAAGGAAAAGGAAAATTAAAAGATTAAAATAAAGATTATGAAAAGCCCTCGTGAGAAACGTCCACATCACTTAATTACCAACTCCTATTTTATGGATTATATCTTTGATATGATAAACCATCTAACTGATCCAACAACAAAAAATCCTTGTCTCCTTTCCCAGATTTTGCTAATTTACCCTTCACTATCTATCTAGATTCAAGTTTATCACCGCTAAAGGTATTTATTTTGCTGGTTTAATTTTTTCATAAGGCAAAAGATATATCATTTGTGTTCTAGAGAACAATATCTGACAGAAAAATTTAATATTAAGATAGAACACTCTTTCATCCCATAAATTGTATGTTAACACTAATTTGTTATCTACATTCTAAATCAATAAATATAAAACAATCATCTCCCCTGACAGAGCTTCTAGAGTAACAGAGACTTGTATAGAAACTAGTGCTGAAAATAAAAGGTTAAAGTAAGACAAGATAACCATATGATCAAAATGTCAAAATAAAAAGGCAAAGCATACATGATGATAAATATAACAGAGGCATTCTGGCATAAATCTTAAGTTTGCAGCTTCCCCCCAGATAAGAAGATATAGACCCATGTATAACAATTTCCGTTGCTGCATTTCCTGTTGGATGGTTGGCATCCTATTGGAAAGAACAAATAGGAATCGAGATGAAGTCAGAGAGAAATTCAACAACCACCACCTATCAATATGAAAACTTAGAAAGAAAATACACGTAGGAGAGAAATATTACAATAACTTAAAAGTCTGGACATAGCCCAGAAATTGGATATGGATTATAAATAGCAGAACATGGCTAGCCACCGATGCTAAATGGAATATACTTAAAAACCAAACAATTCGGAGAAACAAAATTCACTCACCAAAGGCTACTCTTACGACCAAGATACTTGCACCATTTTTTATAGTTCTTGAAAAGTTTCTTCATGACTTCTGTAAGTGCCCGATCTTCCAACTAAACAACAGCATCACTGGGTAAATTTTTAGAAATAGGACATCTACCTGGTAACAGATTGCTAGGTCAACTCTATTACCTTGGGCTGTTGATCAGGTCTAGGAAAAAATTGTCGAACGTGCACATTTGCTAGCAATAGAATTAAGTGCTCCCGTTGATTTGCCACATTATCCTTCTGCATATTAGTAACAAACTCGTAAAAACAAATAGCTGAAAATTCATAAATTCCAAATTTATTTTATAAACCCATGCCAATATTAGCAGAATCTGGCACACATTCACACCTGAAAACCAAACATAGCCTGGAGCCAGTCTAAAATATCTTCATCTACTTTTTTAGTATGTCCCTTTGGCCATGGAAGACCTCTTGTATTCCGAAGGGCAGCAACAGAAGCTCGAATCTGTCAACAAGAAAGATACTGAGTGGATGTGACAAAATCAGATTAGAATTAAAAGCTATCAAGAGAGTAAACAGGAAAATCACCTCGGGATATCTCATGATTGCTTGATGTGAACTTTCTGGGTCTAATGGAAGTATATTATACGGGACTAATATCTTAGCCTTTTCCTCAACCTTAGTGTGTTTCTCCAAGATCTAGATGCAGACATGTTCAAGGGTTAAAGTAAATATATCATTATTTACAATATAAAAACAAATGAAATAAGTCCTTCCACTCGGTAAAAGTTTAAGCTTTGAAATGAAATAGTTTAACTTGGTATTGGAGGATCAGAGCTCCTAAATTCAAGTTTTCCGTCACCCATTTATGAAATTTCCAGAAGTCTAGCCTTTGAACAAAACATAAATCGGGCTAGTACATGCAGGTCATTTGAATAATAACCATGAATAAACATCCTCCCTGGTTTAACAACTTGAGCTTGTGAATGAATTGGTTTATCTATTATAAGGATCAACCATGAACATACAACATGATCTACAAGACAACCTGTCATAGTTCCCATTGCAAGGTATGGGATTTAAAATCTCACATCGAAATTATGGGCTTTCGATGTGTTGTTTATATAGACTTGGGCCAACTTCAATAGCTAGCTTTTGAGGTATGGCTCACCCAAGATCTATATCGATGGTATCAAAGCAGAAACCATGTCTCCCAGTTACAATCAAGCAGTGCGAATAGTGACGCTGGCATAACAATGTTCATTAGGGACTAGTCATAGGCTAGTGCAAAGCTATCCCAACGTAGGCATAGGGATCGCGGAGCATGGTGGATTGAAGGTGTGGAGATTGAATCCTACATCGAACGTATGAATTTTTGATGTGTAGTTTATATAAATTTGAGCTTTCCAACTTGAGTAACTAGCTTTTGAGGTATGGGTCTCCCAAAATCTATATCACAACACAATCATAACAAAAGAAAAGCCTTCTATATCACAACACAATCACAACAGAAGAAAAGCCTTCGATGGAAAAGGATACCATTACAATAGAGAAACCTATAGTTCAAAGTTTTAGGGCAAATTTCTTAAACCTCCTTTAGATCACAGACTTTTACAAGATAACCTGGCTTTAAAGAAATTGCAGAAACTTCCCCAACATTTATTTTCCCCATCAGATTTCCAGTAACACGAAAAATAAATAAATATGTATTTCCCATTTTATACTTTTCTCCTTTCCATTTTTTATCCCTTAAATTGTTTTTCCTGTTTTTATTTAAACGAGAGTATTGCTTCTATTTTAAATAAATAAATAAATAAAGTCTTCAAAAAATTTTTAATAATGTTCACATAAAAATTTACGTTTTCGTGTAATTTCACAAATATAGTTGATTATCATTTAATTGTTTACAATGAATTGGGAGCATGGTCCAGTTTTCTTTGGAGCCAGAAAAAAATTGTTGCAAATATTTTTTATCATTTTCCTTTTTGAGCTCCAAAATGTTTAATGTTGTTCTACGTATTTAGCTTAGGTTTAAGCTTTTTTCTCCCCCCTAATATTTTTATGATGTTAAGTTTAAAAAATTAAATGCTATTATCATAATACAAAAAAAGTAATGAAGTCAACACTGAATTAGGTTCAAAGTTTAGAATTTTTTGAATTCCTTTTTCTATTTGAAATTTTGGTCAAATTTTTTCTTCCTGTGATATGATATAAAAAAAAAAATAACTTTTGCATAAAATATAATTCAGATGAAATCATTTTGTGCAAAAAAGAATAAATAAATAAATTTTATAAACTAAAAGTTATGGTTAGGGTATTTTGGACATGAACATTTTATTTTTTTGTCTATAGGAGGAGGTCTCTTTGATTTTTAAAAGGGCAAGGGATGTCTTTGCAATAGTTAATAACCTCTAGGGAGGTTTCGGTAATTTACTCATAACTTAAAAGATATGACACCGTTCAAGTCACATATTTAAAGTTATCAAAATTACCTCATCATCCACTTCAATCGATTCCGTCAAATTAACAGCCTTTAAGACCTCAAATAGCACAGCAGCTGTTTGATATGCTTTCGTCAGTCGGGCACTATATTAAAAATAAAGTTGTGTAAATATAAATATGCAGTAAATAAATAAATAAATAAGTTCTTTACGAAACAATACAATAGTAATGTTTGAGGGTTTCTTACCGATCCGCTTTATCAGCAGCATACTGCAAAGCCTCAATATACTTCTTGTAATAATGCTGATAAAAATTCTTCATTTCACGAGCATCACTCCCTTTTCTTGCGTTCAAAGTTGTCACGTTTTCCTTCAAAAAAAGGGGTCACCAAATTTTATTACTGCCAAAATATCCCAAGAATATGCTGAGAAGAAAAGTGTACTACAAGAATATCATTAGAATTACTTGAAAACAATACGTCACTTTCTTAAATAATGATGTTTCATCATAGTAATACATCATCTTAAATAATAAAGAACCCACAAAAAACACTAAGGTAACAGAATATATGACGCATAATCAAATATATATCAGTCTCAAGCAACTAAAAATGATATCCAACCATCGAAAACTCCTTTTAAGTATAATACATATCACTTTCCTAGAGTTAAATGTTTTAGTAATCACCCAACTCATACATTGGTCACCTAAACTTCAAAACACATCACAATGCTCACTAGAATTTGTCCGTTTGCACTCCAACCATCATTTGCCAGATTTTATTCCCCTCATTTCTGATGTGCTAAATGGAAATCCCATGTGACAACTTATGATCGTTAAAAAATTACAGCTAGGTCAAATCATCCAAATAAAATATTTCATTACTCACCCAATTTATAATATGATCTCAGTTTACTCATCAAACCACAAAATGCTTCACAACAGCCATTCATTTTTTTAGAGTTGCACTCCCTTCATCATTGCTAGATTTCGTTCCCTTTATTGCTGACGTATCACACAAAAATTTAATGTGGTAAATACAATTAAAAACAAAATTACAACTCAATCAAACCATCTCTCTCTTCAAATCATATGTGAAACGCGATTTCCGTGACCCCATAAGCTTCTGTAAGCTGAATTGTTTGTCCTCAATTTCAGCCCCCAATTCACTCATATTACCCACACACATAAAATATATACTCCAATTGTTAAGAAACACCTGAGAAGCTACTAATAAAGTACTATCCCTAACTGTACCATCTGTCCGATATCTCTATAATCCTAATCTTCCATTTTTATAGGCTTGTATCCGACCATTTAAGAAAGGAAATGTCACCAAACTTCGATGTCTAAGGTACAACTAGTGTACGACTCGATATCTTCTAGTTTGTATCGTGTTTGTTGTTCTTCATTCCTCAATTTGGCCAAAGTTCAATGACATTTCCTTCTTCAAATGGTTGAACACACGCTTGTAAAATGGAAGACTGAGATTAGACGTCCCACATATGGTACAATTGAGGAATAATGCTTTATAAGTAGTAGCTTCTCACATTTTTCTCAATTATCGGACATGTCCAATTACACAATTTACAGAAGTTTAAGTGACCATGTTTCACATATAGTGACTTTGGAGTGTTCAATGGTTTAACTAATTTGTATTATTTTATCGATCGAAACTTACGACATGAGAATTTTATGCGACGTGTAAGCAATGAAGAGAACCGAATCTGATGAATGGTGGATGGAGTACAACTTTCAAAGATAAATTACCATTGGGAAGCATTTTGAAATTTGATAAGTAAACCATAACCATAATATAAGTTGAGTAATGAAATATTTTGCTTAGATGGTTTGACTGAGTTATAATTTTTCAACTGTCGTAACTTGCCGCATAAAATTTTCGTTTGACACATCGCAATGAGGAAAACAGATTTTAATGGGTGATGGATGGAGTGCAAGCGGACAAAGTCTAAAAAGCAAGTTGGATCTAATTTGGATCTCACCTGAATCGCTCCATCTATCATCCTGGGGAAAGGTTTGAATGTTGAAGTTTAGTAAGTTGTGACCATGATATAATCTGGGTGATTATTGAAACATTTAAATCCACTTTCGTATCTAACAATATTTTCTTGAGAATAACACTACATCATAGCCTCCATTTTGACAAATTTATAAAGAGGAATCGTAAGATCAATAGAAGTTATATGTATGGATAATAATGAGTGGTAGTTACGAATGTATGGTTAAAATTAACTTTGACTTTGACGTTGGCTGAATTTATAAACCATCTATACATTTGTATCCAAACGGAGGCTTAAATGATAAAAAGCACAAAAATCACTAATGTAACAGAATATACGACATGCATAACCAAATACAATCTCAAGCAACTAAAAGGTTTGCTCAGGTCTTCATGGACAAATGCATATTTTCAGCTATTATATAACAGTATTATCAAAATCATATCACATTCTAAGGGATGAAACATCAGTCCAATTTGATAAGGAGACATTTATGCTCATTCTGCATACTTCTAGTTCCTGTTCGGGCCTCCATTTTATTCAAAATGCATTTTTCTCTCTTTTTTTTCAACCACACATTTTCCAATAAAATAATATTTCAGTAAATCCAAAACTTTTTCTTCTTTTTTAACCACACACACTTCCAAAAATCAATATTCCAAAATACATTTTTCCCAAAATTTTATTTTAATGGAGCCCAAACCAGGGCTTAGTCACATGCTTAGGGAATTAAACAATATTCCAATTCGGTACACAATATAGTATCTTAACTCCCAGCCAGTTAATTGCCATCAACATTTATGCTCAACGAATACGAACTAGGATTTATTCAAACCGGAGATCCGAGAATGTGGAACAAATCAAACCAAATAAAAGATGAAACACTAGCTCGAAAGCCACTCTTCCCAATATGAGAGGAGGAGTCCAAAGGGGAAAAGTTAATCCGGACTTGCAGCATATTGGACCTTAAAAACCCATACTCATCATTGAACACAGATTTTAGGAAACCCACAATTAAATACTTGCCTGCTTGTTACCTCTTCCCACTTCAGCTGAAATTCACCTTTAGTGGTGTATTTACCATATATATGCCAGTTCCCTCTCCACAAAGTTCCATCAGCCCCAAGAGTATTTATGACATCATAATGAACTGGTTATTCTCACTCTTTAAGTAATGTACCTCTACTAGACCCTTGATGAGCAATCCATACAACAATATGGCATGACCCACCAAACAAATTGAATAATTTACACTATCTCTATTGCACGAGGGATCATATCATACTCCTAATGAAACCCAACATTTTTTTGAACTTGGGTACTTTGCCTACACCTGGAATGCCAATCTGGCTATCCTGTCATGCAGAATCAACGCTATTATACAGTTTCTGTGATAGTAGTTTTTATAGCTTCTGTTGAATGGTTGCCGAAAGAGTATAACACGGCTACAAGAAACACAACAAGATCTCACCCCCTCCCCCCAAGCCTCTGCCAACTATAGATCCTCCAATTAGGGCTTTGCAAGCAGATTTGAAGCCCATATGTTTCATAAAACCGTTATGAAACTCAAATATGAGTGAAATAAAGAGTTAATTGCCTTCATAATAAGTCCCTGTTAACTGTTAATTAGAGAAGAAACAAACAAAGATCAAAATGAAAATGAAACCTTTTCAAGCATTAGCTTGTGACAATTAAGCCCCCGTTTGGCCCCCATTAAATCTCATCAAATTAAATTAAATTTTTCTTTCACATATTTTCAACCACACAATCTTCAATTTAATAATATTACACGTAAATTGGAAACTTTTCATTCTTTTACAACCAACCGTTTAAAATAAATAAAAATAAAAGGCCTGTTTAAGCCACATTATTCCAAAAAATTATATTCTTAAACAGTGATTTGACATCATTTCAACCACACATTTTTCAATAAAATAATATTACACGCAGATCAAAAACTTTTCTTTATTTTTTAACCATACATTTTTCATCAATACACTATTCAAAAATACATTATTACAAAAATAATGTGGCTCAAACACCCCCAAAATAAAATAAAAAATACTATTCCCCCCATTATAATCAAAATTAATAGAGGCCAAACTGGGGCTAAGTTACCCTTTCAGAGAATATCGTCAAAAATATGAATCAGCCATCTACTTGAAGGTCTTCTTATAGAAAGCAGTTGTTCAGGGTAAACAAACAGATTAGCAGATCAATGGAAATAACCTCAAGCTGCCCCATCAGTTACCAAATTCTACCAATCATAATGGATAATAAACTCTGAGAAACAATAGCATGACAATAAAAGGGGTGCAACCCATCAGAAAGGAATGTAATCCACAACAAATATTAATTATAACGAGAAAAACTGCACATTAGCTATGCTATCCTCGCCTAACAATGAAAAGTACAATGCGCTATGCAGACACCAACAGCAAATACCAATCACATTCAATAAACTAAATGAGTCTAGAAATTAAAGAAATGTGATATCTGAGTTTTGTTGATCTCATTCTCTTTCTAGTTTAAAGTACCAATGAAAACAGAAGAAATTAAAGTGATAACAACATCAACTGCAGCATACTAAATTGATGTACCTTTTCAAGGCGTTGAAGCAGTGCAGTTTTGAATTGACGGACTCCACGTCCACTAGATGTTGGATCTAGACGGTGAGCTTTCTCGAAAGCATAGAACCGACCTGGCAACAACACAAGCATCAATATATTTGGAGTACAAAGAAACATCTACGGTCAGATGGAACACCTTGGACACGTTGAAAGTTTACAAATGGCAAATACTTGGGCGTACGCCGCATATTAAGAGCTCAAATACCTACATGTCAACGTAAACCTTATAGCAATTATGCATTAAAACACTGAAAAGTACTAGTACTGTTACTTTTTATTAGAAAATTTAGCAGAATAAGACATATATATTTCTACATCGAGTCAGAAAATTTAAACCTCGTTACAGCATAAAACAAGGAATTAGTTCAGAAAACCAGTAAAATGGTCCCTGAAAAAGCTAAAACATGCAGAAGCATAACTAATAATACCAATTATGTCACTCCCCAAAGATGAATAAATGAAGATGGAACTTACAAAGGTAAGCAACTCTGGGATTAATGGGCTCAACTTCATTGGCGACACGGAGAATTGGTGCAATCTCGACGAGAGACGAAGGGACCACCTCACTGTCCATCATCGACTCCCCCAAATTACCAACGGTCTGAGTCCGCAAGATTCGCCTTTGAGGCTGAGCATCAGATCCCCTTCTTTGATATGCCATTTTAACTTTAATATCTTCAAAACAGAACTGAAACTTCCTCCAATTTAACTGTCAAAACCCAATAGAAAAAAATCATGTACTTCACAAAACATTATACAACTTAAAACACTTAAATTCCATTTAAATGAAACCCTGTTCCTTTTTTATTTAAACCCACTCTTGGAGAGAGTTTTTATTAATAAAAAAAAGTATGAGTTAGAACAAAGTCGGGCCTGACCTCCAAATAATAAGCTTACTATGGATCCTCAAATCAAGAACTGAAACTAAATGAATGAAACCACTTTGTTTCTAGATTTAAAAAATAAATAAATAAAATAAAATAAAATAAAATAGAGGGTGTATAACACATCCTTCTTCAGTCTTGGTGATTTGATAACCGCAATCATTTTCTTCAAAAGCCTAAAACATATACACCTCCATACCCTTTAATGTCAAGTAACCTCTGTTCGGTTAAATGAAAATCAAGAGATTTTCAGCTAAACCTTTTTCTTCTCCGAGAAGCAGAAACCCAAAATCATCCTTTATAACCTCATTTTTTATAACCCAAAAACCCTTACTTCGTTTCGTTTAGAGAGAAAAAAAAATGAAAAAGGGAAATTACATGAAGATTGTAAAATTCAAAATTGGAATTTTCCAAATTACTTCCATCATATTTTTATTAGAAATCAAAATAAAAATCAAACCCTCCGTGTTAAGCAAAAAAGAAACATGGTGTACCACTTTTCATCGTCTCTAATCCTAGAAGCCATATCATTTCACCTCTTCAGCTCACTTTCACTTTATAAAACGAGTAGCAATATATAAAAACAGATAATTATAACTCAAGAAAAAATATAAAGCAAAATCAGAAAACAGATCGTTACCTTTTAAAACTTTCTTTACCTCTCTGTGAAAAAAGAAAATCAAACAGAAGCAAGCAATTCCTCATTTCTCATGGCAACACGAAAACAGAGCGACTTTTCATGATACCCAGAAAACAGTCTTCTAGCTTGAGAGGGGTTGCTGATAACGTTGTATTAACATAAAACAGTGAAACTTATAGGAAAAGAATTACCTTTTTCTAAGCAAGCATGGACCAAAAGAAAGTATGTAAGTGGAGGAGGACGAAGAATCCCGAAAGAGAAACTAAAGTATATTATTTAGACAGGGCCACCAAACTGAAACGACAAAAGGAAAGCAACTGCGGGTAGAAGAAAATGATAATATATTAGTATTAAGGGATTCGATTATAGTACTGCCTTAAATTACACAAAACACCATAGGTTGCAATGAAGCACCCATTTGACAACTATTCCCTTGTTTGATACTCGTTCCTCTCAAAATATATTTTTCTCTCTTCTTTTTAATCACATATTTTTCAATGAAATAATATTAAACATAAATTCAAAAAAATTTCTTATTTTTTAATTACACATTTTTCATTAATCTGCTATTTCAAAATGCATCATTACTATAAAAATGGGAAACAAACCGACTATACATTTAAAAGGAGTCATTGAATAATAAATTTTGGAGAATGTATAATTAAAAAGTAAAAATAAAATTACAAAAAGAATATTTTATTATAATAATATGTGGTTAAAAATGAATTTGAAAAAAAAATTGATAGAATAATTGTCCAAGAGGGGTTGTGGAAAAATCATATTCATTAAATTTCAAAAATCATATTCGTTAAATTTCTCTCACAAACCTTAATGGTTTTAACTAAAAAATAAAAGCCACATTTGAACAATATTTTTAAAAATATATACAATTTTTATAGAGATTTGACATCATTTCAACCACATATATTTTTAATAAAATAATATTACAGGTAAATCTAAATTTTTTCTTTTTTTTTTTTAATCACACACTTTTCATTAATACACTATTGAAAAATGTATTTATTTTATTAAAATAATGTGGCTCAAACAAGAACTAAAATTCATATTTTAATTTAAGTCAAAGTCAGCAATTACTTTTCACCACACATTTTATATGACTCATAACTTTTCAATCACACATTTATTTAATTTTTATCAAAATCTACTAAAATTTTGATTTAATCTCCATCAAATAGGAGTTAAATAAAAAAAAAAGTCATGTATTTCATAATATCTACAATTTTCTATCAAGTTATTATCCAAATATTTCGTTAGATTCATAACTTTTAAGTAATTAAAAACAATTTCAAACCAACAATAAACAATAACTTCCAAGTTAGATTTTGCAGGCGAAAGAAGAGATATGCCAAATTTTAACCTTGTTTGATTTTGCTTTTAAGAAGTAATTTTGTGAAGAGTTATTTTTTGAAAATATATGGTTAAAAAATAAGTTAAGTAAAGATTATAGGTTCATGTGCATAATTATTTTATTTGAAATATGTGTACAGGAAATTAAATTGATTAAAAAAATAGTAATTTTTGAAAAAGGAGAAAAATAAGTTTTGAAATAATGGTAGACAAACATGGGCTTAATACTATATATAAAGAAGTATTGTGAAGAAGAAAAAACAATAACAGGGTTAAATTAGTAATTTTATTCACATTAAGTCTCATCTTTAAAGGAGCGGCAATTATTTATACGTCCACGACACGTAACTTTAGGAGAGGCATTTATTTCATTCTTTTCCCATTGACATCAAATTTTAATAAAATTTGATAAAATATATTGTTAAAATTGTAAATCCCATATAAAATTAATTATTGTTTTTAACTTGGATTAAAATCTAAAATTTAATTCTCACCTAACAATATTTACTAATATGTCTAGCTGAAAGAAGAAAAAAAATGATTTACAATTAAATATAAATTTTTTAAGACAGTGCTCAAAAAAGTAAATATGCAATTTGTAATTTAATATGAAATTTTTCGAAGTACATCATCTTTTCATTTTTATTTTATTTTAGAAATTCAAATTGATTTTGATTGAAATATATATTCAAAAAATGAAATGATTTGATGAAGGTTTTCATGTTTAATTCACAAGGTTTTAATTGGAGTATTTACAAGATGTTTGATGGAGATTAAAATTAGATTTTTTAGTAGATTGTATTAGAAATTTTTAAAATGTGTGGTTGAAAAATTGTGGGACCCATAAAAATTGTGGTTAATATTAATTCTTGACTTTGATTTAGATTAAAATCTATTTAATCAGAACCCAACATGGGTTTAATTTAAAAAAAGTAAAGCTAATGTTTAGTTTGCATAACATAAAAGGTCCGTTTAATATGTGTTTCTGTTTTTAGCTTTGAGTTCATTTTTAATTTTTGTTTTAAGGATTTGTCTTAAAATTGTTAAAAACGTGTTTGATGTCATTGTGAAAAATTATATCCCAACAAGAAAAATTAGAAACACACGTTTGTTTTAAAATTTTGAAAAATTGTGTTAATGACATTTTATTCCATGATATTTGATCATTTAGTTTAGATAAAATATTTTTATGCTAATATAATATCAATTAAAATGTACACTTTAAAGTAGATGAATCTTATAATATTTTTTCCCTACAAAAGAAAAATAAAATAAATAATAATTTGAATTCAAATATGCCCTGTTTGGCACCCATTCTCATTCTCGTTCTTTTTCTCGTTCTTATTTTCAATCACACAATTTTTCATAAAATAATATTACATGCGAATCTAAAAAATTTTCATTTTTTTCAACCACACATTTTTCAGAAAGAACACTATTCCAACAATTAAAATTTGGATAGAATGAGGGCCAAACTGGGGCTATATGTGAAATAAAATTAAAAATTAATAATGTGGATTAAGAATATTTTCATCTATATTTAAACTTATTTTTTTTAAAAATATATGGAAATAATCATTAGGAGTTTGAACTATTTTTATTTTTTAATTTCATAATTTTATTTTTCCAAGAATATATTTTTTAGCTTTATCATTTAATTTTAAAAAATTAATTTATACTTTATAATTTATTTTTTCAAACTTTTTATTTTTTATTTTTTTAATTTATTTTTCTAGAATTTTATTTTTTAAAATTTTTAAATTTTATTTGTTAGAATTTTAAATTTTCAAAATTTTATTTACACACTTGTTTTTAATGTGTTTGAATGTTTTTGTATCAAAACGTGTTTGATAGGTGTTCATAAATAATTTAAATTATAAATAGATAGAAATAAATTGTGAATATAAATATCTCCAATGTAATATATGTGAATTTAATACGTGCAACATTAAAAGATGAGGATGGAGAGAAGAAAGTCTCCAATAGTCTAGTGAGACTGAATTGTACTAATTGTGGATCACATGTACAAGACAAATGACGCAGGAAAAATGTAAATTCATATAAATTAATTTGACTAAAAAAGATTTGAGTAATTTTGGTGTCAAACGGAAATCAATTAAATTCTCAGAGCCAAATGGTGGCTTCGAAATATGAAGCCCATCCAATCTAATTTGAAAAGTCTAAAGATTGTACATAATAATAATAATAATAATAATAATAATAATAATAATAATAATAATACTTGCCCTAAAAATAAAATAAACTATTAAAATTCCGCATTTTGGTTACAGAGTCAAAAAAATTAAGGCCTAAATTATAAGCATGAAGACGGAGAAGATGATGATGATAATGATGATTGCCTTAAAATAAAAAACACTATTCAAACTCCCCATTTCAATATAATAATTTAAACAATAAATCATAATTGTGTCGAGACTAGAAATGTTCTATGTACTTCTCCTCCACAACTTCGCACACCATATATGCAGAAATATAAATGCACTTTTATTTTATATTTTTAGTTTTCCTACCCTTTAGAAACCCTAGATCATTTGTTCTCTCGTTCGTTCGCGTATTGCATATTCGATTCCAATTCTAAATCAATCTTATATGTAACGCCCCAAATTCTCGAAACCCGAAACATTAAAATAATATTAGTTTTTTTATTTGATTTGACCCTTTTGACGCTAGTCAAAGTATTTTATAAATTCAATTTATTTTTTTTATATAGAAATATAATGGAAGGTAGTTATCCATATAAACTTAGGCAAATATAGCAAAATTTGATTTTGTAAAAGATTTGAAGGCAAAACGACAATTATGAATTTAACAACAGCGGAAGAAAAATATATTTTGCATAGCAAAATGTCTATTAAAATTTATAAAATTTTTACAGGGACTAAAGCATTCATATATGTACCACATATAAAAATTTGGGGTTTCGACGATAACGTTTGAAGCATGAAGATATTACTCGAATATGCTAGACAAGAATCTCGGATTCGACACAATGCAGTTTACTAAAACGGGCATAACTTTTTTTTTAGATAATATTTTTGAGAAATTTCAAAAGCCACTGTTAGAAGACTCATAGACCTTTCAAATCCCACTGATTTCACTTAAAAACATGCATCGTAGCCCAAGTTATACCATTTTTAAATAGGAGGATAGAATCTGAAATTTATATCCAACACCTCTAAATTATAGTTAACATGCATCATCTATGAAACTAAAAAAAATAAACATTAAAATATTTCTAAAAAGTGTCATCTAAGTATCCATGAAATATTTAAATAAATGGAAATATTTACTAGAAATTGAAAGTATTAGAGATTGCCGAACACTTGCCACTATGTCAACCACTACCACACCTCGGTCTTAACCTATAAAATTATTTGTAGGGATGAGTACTATAAATAATACTCAGTAGGAAACACTTAAGTAAATAATAAAAATATATATTTTCAGAAATGCAAACTTTATTTGATTGTGTAATCGTCAATTTCAAGCGAATTGGTGATCAGTCAGCCCATTTGCTTTTAGATTTTGATAACCACATTTCATTTATCATAATCATCTCTTCACATCTTGTATAAACCACCAAACGGTGATTCCATCATGAGTAACATAATAAAAAGTTTAACGCAAACGAAAACATATAAATCTTACTTCACTTACAAAAGCGCCGAAACACCCCTACCTTAATGCTTGGAATTTGAATACCCCTTTTGCGTTCAATAAGAAATAAAATGTAGCTTACTTCTTTGCCTCTTCTTCAAATAAAAAATTTCAATTTCAAGGTGCTTTATGTCTATGGAAGAAGGGGCAAAATAACTTTTTGTATATGTTTAACGGTTTGGAAGATAAACGCGGTTAAATGAGTTGAAATTAAGAAGGCGGTTGAGCATGCCATTCCATTTACACCATAATTCGGTGTCTGT